TGTCTGCCCAGCACCAAGACGTTTGTTTAGGAGCTCTGTCAGTGCCATTGTTTGAGAGGGGGGTAAAAATTAGTCAGGTGCAGACCTCGCAACAATAAGACATGTTGATTTGACAGAGGCAGCGCACTGTAGGTAGTATAGTGTTGGATTTAAAGTGGCTTACAGGCGCATGTACGGACCAGCCTCGCTTATGCCAAAGTTTGCCAGTTAGGCACAAAAGATGCCTGTGACTCCACAGTTATTGTTAATTTTGAAAGCTTGACACCTTTTTTTGTAATCAGATTTCAGAGACAAGTGCCATCCTTTTGAGGGGGCTGCATCCATGTGTTATTGAGAAGCCATGTGTTTGCTCATGTCCATGTGTGCCCGCTTTCTATGTGTGTGCATTGTGGAGGGTGAAAATGCCTGGCTAAAGGGCATTAGAGGGCGGGGGGTTACATTTACAATACTTTATAAGAGTATGACTAGGCTATATGAATCAGGGAGTTCAGAGGTGGTTAGCTATCACACACACACACACGTGTGGCCCAGTGTGTTCTTTAATAGCTAATAGCCGTGTCTATGTCCAAACGTCAAGCGTATTTTGTGTAAACTTTTATAATGTGGCTTTCCACCCAGGGTAAGCAGACAAAAGAAAAGAAAGACAGAAAAAAATCTGTCAAAATACGTCTGTTGTTTATTTACATATAGGTCCCCATGAGTGTGCATAGAGTACGCTATGTCTAAAACTTTGCAACACCAAAAGTAGCTACTTAAGAGGACTTTTTTTTTCTGTTTCGTGCATTTTATTCTTATCTGGTTTGCTTTTGTTCACGTTTTTGTGTCTAGATATCTGTTTATATATCTATCTATCTGCCTGCCTTTCTAATTTGCTTACTGATATTTCCTATCTATCTTCTATTGGTGCTAAAATTCCAGCAGGGCTCCCATGAGTGAGTCTGAAGTAAATAGGATACTTAACTGAAAATATAGCTGAGAAATGTTACAATCAGAATCTAAAACCCAAGGGCGGTTCTAGAGAGGGCCAACGGGGGCAAGTGCCCTTGTAGATCATGTCCTGGCCCCTGTTATGGCGCCTGTACCAAAGGCATAATACTAAAAGAAGTTCTAATGATGATATGCGCTGGAACAGACATGGTTACTGGTAGATCCTTTGGATCTATTTAATTTTTTTTCATTAAAAATTGTGTTTTACTAATTATTTAAAAATCACAAGGTGATAGCTTCAGTGGTAATGAGATGGGATCCCAGTTTTTTTATGTTTTTTTCAAAACAAATTAAGAAAAATACTCCAATTCTTACATCTAAATTTATTAGTTTTTCTTGAGTTCTAATTCTGATTTTATAAAGAAAAAAAAAGGTTATTTTAACATAAATTAAGTAAAAAATATGCAACATTCATGAATTCTGATTGTATATTGACCGAATAAGACATAGAATTTAAATTCAACCTAATGGAATAGACATTTCACTTCATGCAGCTATCTTAAAGGAATAGTACACCCAAAACATGATTAGCCTTTATTTTCTACTCACCCCCATGCTGAACAACACTCTGGAGTACTTTTTTGATATCTCAAATGCATCTGGAGATCTGGGAGGCTTCTTGCTGTCTGCTGACATTCAAATAATGGATGTCTATGGTGACCGAGACAGAAAGGTCCATAAAAGTCCACAAAAACGTGTCAATATTCCTCCATACTGCTCGTCCAATGTATTCCAAGTGTCCTGAGTGGGTAGCATCCAGAATTTACTCGAAACTAAGTCATTTAGAATGTTTTTAGAGCATAAACAGTAGTGTATAGGATTTCCTGAAAGCATGCAGATGCGCGCTCACGACGCTACGTAAGCCGGCAGACCAAGCCAGATGAAAGTGCGCATTCAGCGTCTGCTCTGCCAATAATGCAAGCGTAGAAGAAGAAATGTGCTGTTTACCTGTGCAAAGAAAGAAACAACGAAAGAAAAATGTCTGAGACTTCAGTGTTGAGGAAGAGCATGAGTTCTTTGCCGAGCTGAATGCGCTGGTTTGGTCTGCCGGCTTCTGTAGCGTCGTGAGCGCGCATGTGCGCGCTTTGAGGAAATCCTATACACTACTGTTTATGCTCTAAAAACATGCTCTAAATGACTTCGTTTCGAGTAAATTCTGGATGCTACCCACTCAGGACACTTGGAATACATTGGACGAGCAGTATGGAGGAATATTGTGGACTTTTATGGACCTTTCTGTCTCGGTCACCATAGACCTCCATTATTTGAATGTCAGCAGACAGCAAGAAGCCTCCCAGATCTCCAGATGCATTTGAGATATCAAAAAAGTACTCCAGAGTGTTGTTCAGCATGGGGGTGAGTAGAAAATGAAGGCTAATCATGTTTTGGGTGTACTATTCCTTTAATATGTCTGAATCTTGCCCTGTTTTTTTTTTTTTTTTTTCATGCTTTTCTGTTCCCCCATGAAAACACACTGCCCCCCTCCTGGCCCCCCTGGTACATTTTAGTCTAGAACCGCCACTGCTAAAACGGTTTTAAAACGGCCACTTCAAAGAGTCTCCTCAGCCCCCTCCTGGTTGCCCTTAGAATCAAGCATCTCGCGGCGAACCGCTGGCGACGCCCCGCAGATCCCGGCAGCAAGCCGGCGAGAGGAGCGCCTTCCCCCGGTCGCCTGTGCGCCACGTGTCGCGGTCCGCGCACCAGCTGGAAGTGTGCGAGCGCTCACTTTAACCTGCGCCTGCTGATCTGACATTTTCATGTTGATTTTAACACTTTTTTTTTTTTTATCGTTTTCAAACATCCATCAAGGACTCGTTTTCCTTTAATTAAAAACTAAATTCAGTTTTTTCCCCCTCAACTTGCATATACTTTTAAGGCTCAAGAGAAACATATTTGATAGATACAATAGATATGTTTTAGTGTAGGTGATGACAGACTGCTGGAAGTTATAAGCGCGCCTGTCTGTGAAGTTGCACAACCTTAAGAATGCTGCTTCAATAAACCCAAGGAGCGATAGTTGGCATCTTTCCCCCCCTTTGTGTCCGTCTGCTCTTTGGTATATCTAACTACAATAAAGATAAGGAAATGAAATTATGACCTGATATCTACAAAAGCCTTGAACGCCGTGGGGCGGCCACAGGCGGGAAGGAGGTGAAGGAGGAGGGGGAACTCTGCAGACTCAGAAATATCTCTGCTCTGGCTCACATTCCGATAAGGGAGCCCGATCCAGCTCGCTCTGGAGGCGTGGTTTTCCCAGGCTTTTAAAACAGCAGCTGCTATTTACCTTCCCCTCTAATGTAAACCACCGCCGCCGCCGCCACATACCCTCCCCTCACCGCGCATGCACCCTCCTCCTCCTCCTGCTGCAGCCCGGCGGCCAAAACCTCCAACCAGCGCGCGCTCATAAAACATCCTGGCACGTGCTCCACATTCACAGCACCGACGGATGATTAAGTGGCAGATTCTGCACCACAGACCTATAGGAGCTGCCGTGTAATGTGGAAACGGGAGTGATGTGTGCTCCCAGGGTCACATTGGTCTGAGAAAGTAAGGCTCAGGCTGGAGTTCAGCTTCTCATGTGGTCCCCTCATGAGGTTTTTAACTCGTCATGAGTTGTCATCCCAAGTTGTTTCCTTCACAAATGTAATTATTCCAGTAAGCTGGGAGGGAAAAAAGAAAAACAAGGCAAAGCTCATGTAACTCTGTTTCAGTTAGATATAAGCGAACTATGGGACCAGAATTTATGCTTCTAGATGAGTAACATTAACCTTAATATTGAAGTCTTTAACAAACATTCAATGAACTCTCAGCTGTTTATAAATAACTGTTTTTGTCCTGTCAGATTGCATTATCACACATTAATCTGTGGCCACTAACGATTAGCAAACAAAAGTGTGATTTTTAGGCCCTATTTAGTTCATTATACAAAATTATACAAATTTCTGTAAAATTATACAAAGTCTGCCCAGGGACAGGACAGTGGCATCCCTTGATTGTAAAAAAGAGGTATATAAATCCTTCCATATAAAAATCAGCTGTTAACCATTTGACATTTTGTATAAATAATGTTTGATGCATTATTTTTCTCTTTAAATCGAACAACTTCTGACCACTTCATCAAAAACTCCATGACTTCTAATTTTGCAGTGGCATCCAAAGAATATCCCTTTATCTGAATGAATTAACACCTGTAATTCTATATGGATAACATTTAGAAGCAGAGGAGTATCTTTTAGCAGCATTTCGTGTATTTTGTCTGGTATTTCAACTATAGTGCAGTTCTGATAAAAAATAACTTGCTGCTGATTAAGCTTCACATCCTGACAAATGTTTGATTCAGCAATCAAATGTTGACTTATACCAACCTGTGTCCAGAGTGGGTGAAAATATCACCAAAGCCCAATATGAATTTCTTAAAGTGCAAATTGTGAATAAAGGACTATATTCATCTTCAGAGCTCAGGAAAACTTTGATCAAGTCACAATGGGAACTTCTTTTCTAATCATGTCAAAGCTTTTGCTTTTCGGTGGTCCACCTCTAGTGGCCCCCATCTGGTTACCCCTCATAAAACTTTCTGGAGGAACTCCAGAAATGTACTCTGAATGGGTTTTAAAAGTTGCTACATCTATTAGAAGGAAAAAAGGAGGAAATGTGTGGAAACAGAGTTGTTGTTGCGGTTTCTCTGGTTTTCATTTTTTTGCTCCTAACTCGTGCCCGGCAGATAGGCGCTCCCTGCGCCTCTCTCAGTCAGCGGCTCCGCTGTTAATATGTAAACGCTCCGATGATTGAAGACTGCAGACAGTTTCCCTGGCTGCGCCCTCAGCCCGGGCCGTGCGCCATTGGCCGCCAACTCCAGCGAGGCCAAACAGCCAATTGGAGGGCGCCGACCACGAGCCGTCCTCCCTCGGGCCTCGTGTCCCTCACTCTGATTGGTTGAAAGTTACTGTGGGAAAGAAAGTTTGGGAAGTTTCACACGAGCCGTTCGCGTGCAGTGAGAGATATAAATACAAGGCACACGCGGAGAGCCCGACAGAAAGAGAGAGAGAGACTGCGTCCGCTCCTGACGCTGCGCTTCACTCAGACGGATTTAACTCAAACCAGGAATTGATTCCGACACAGAAGGACTTTAAATTCTACCTGACAACACCTGCTTCATTTTTTTCTACGCGTTGGAAGGGAATTTGCTGTAATTTTGTTGGGGTTTTTCTAATAAGAAAGAAAATATGCCTGCCGATATGATGGAAAAATCCTCATCCTCTCCGGTCGCTGCTACACCGGCGAGCATGAACACAACTCCAGACAAACCCAAGACAGCATCTGAACACAGAAAGGTTGGTATTTATAAAGATTGTAGCAAATAACAATAGTCTAGGTTGTATACCCAGCTCTGTGCCTTGAGTGGATTATGTTAACAGCGTGCGTTCACTTTTTTAGTCATCCAAGCCGATCATGGAGAAAAGGAGAAGAGCCAGAATAAACGAAAGCTTGGGTCAGCTGAAGACTCTCATTCTGGATGCGCTCAAAAAGGATGTAAGTACTCAGCAGTCCTCTTTGGATATTTATAGATGCCCTAACAGTCGGTATCAGGCATGAGGATAGTCTGTGCGTAACGCTAACCAGGTGCGCTTCTCGCCCCCGCAGAGCTCCAGACACTCCAAACTGGAGAAAGCAGACATCCTGGAGATGACAGTGAAGCACCTCCGGAACTTACAGAGAGCTCAGATGACCGGTAAGTTCAACATCCCACTCTGATTTATCTTCATTTATAAAAGTCACGCTTGTTTCAACACGTCCAGAGGATTTTAACAATAATGTCCTCCCTCTGTTTCTCCTATAGCTGCTCTGAACACTGACCCCACCGTCTTAGGAAAATACCGCGCAGGTTTCAGTGAATGCATGAATGAAGTCACCCGATTCCTGTCCACCTGCGAGGGCGTAAACACAGAAGTCAGAACGCGGCTCCTGGGACACCTGGCCAGCTGCATGACGCAGATCAACGCCATGAACTACCCCAGCCAGCATCAGCACCAACACCAGCTCCCTTCAGCGGGAGGCTCAACGCACCCCTCGTTTGGTCAGTCCATGGTGCCGATCCCCAGCTCCTCCCCGCAGGTGCTCCCCATGAACCCTGCGTCCTGCAAAGGGGGCTCCCCGCCGACCAGCTTACCATCAGACGCCACCAAAGTGTACGGCGGCTTCCAGATCGTGCCAGCCACAGACGGACAGTTCGCTTTCCTCATACCTAACGCGGCATTTGCGCCAAACGGCCCCGTCATCCCTGTGTACGCAAACAACGTGAGCACGCCAGTGCCTGTTCCAGCCGCGGTGTCCCCTGGAGCCCCCTCAGCCAACACAGACTCAGTGTGGCGACCGTGGTGAAAAGACCTACCCGGAATAAAGACTCTGACTTTACACTTATTAGTTAACATTTTTTTTGGTCAATAGAAAGTTGTTTCGAACCTGCTTTTATTTTCTTGTAAAATTGAAAGAGTATGCACTATATTTGTACAGCTAACAAGGGAGTAAAGTTCATATTGAAATGAGATTGGTATTGTGGAAGTCCGTTCACTGCATTTTTTTTTTAAATATTTGAGTTGTCTTTTTTTTTTTTTTTTTTACTGTGTGACGCCAAAGATGTTCAATGCTCTTATACTGTTCTTCGTTTTGGAAGACAAATAAATTTGTAAAATTATGAAAAAGAAATTATTGTCCCAGAGTTACTTGTTTCAGAAAAAGACAGGTTCCCTGTTTAAAACATAACATCTTGACATAAAGTCATTGAGCGTTAGCGTAACTCTATTTATGTGCGTCAAAGCTTAGAGCCAGCAGTTGGTGAAAATGCTTAAAATTAACCAGATGGATCAAGATACAGCAATTGTTTTTATTGTGTAAAACTTTTTCTTACATTTTTAAGTATTTTGCAAAGGGCTTGCACTCAAAATACGTTGTTTTGTAGAAACATTATCAACCAACTGAGTTCCAGTTGGAGCTCAGTGATGTGAAAAAGTTGAGGGAGAGCGGCAAGGATGTAAGATCATCTGTTTGCGGTGTTACGCACTTGGCTTTTCAGCTGTTTGGGCTTCCTTGAAGGAGCGTTGGAGCTTTGCAGAGGTCACTTACGCCATCTAGCAGCAGAAAACGACACTGCAACCTGATTGGAACAACAGGGCAATTGAGTTTAAAATATTTAGCTTTAAGAAAACCAAGGTAACTGAGTGGATATACATTTTTTTAATTAGTTAAGAGGTGGAAATTATGTGTATTTATAATAATTAAACATTGCTGAAAACAGCAGGTACATCGCCAGGGAAATGTTTTCTGGTTTTAATATGACAACAATGTGCTGAAGACAGTTTTCCCCAAAAAATTTATTTGAAAGTTATTTTAAATAGTTTATGTTCAGTCAGATTGGACATAAAACCTCTGTGAACATAATTTGTTTAAATGTAGTATATATATCTGACATTAAAATACCTTTCTTTGTCTAGCTGGAACTTCTGCAAACAGCTTTTCTGGCAGAATTATTCTTTATATTTATACTCCACTGCATGATGCTCCCACCATCAAGAAGATGAGTTTTGCATGTCGTCCTGAAATCTAATTTCGGTCTTATTTGACCAGAGCACATACTTCCCTCATGCTTGCTGTGCTCCCTAGATTTATTATAGAAAGAAAAAAATATTATTGGAAGAATTGCTTCGTTCATGCTTCTCTACAGCATAGGATACCTTTTATTTTTTGTGTCAATAGATTCTCCCTCAGAAGTGTGTGGATGTTGAGGTGTGAATACTTTTTGACGTGTGAGTACTTTTTTCAAAGTATTGACATAGTTTGGACATTTTTGCGTGTTTAAAGTTCAGCAAACAGGCAAAGATTTACAATAACTGTCCTATAAAGATCAAGCGCTGATAAAGCATCACCATTAGGAGGATTTCTGCAGCTTTCACTTGAGCAGCAACATTAATCTCATGGTTGGAAAGCACAGAGAGGAGCCTCGGGCTGTGTCTTTAATCAGGGCTCAGTTCCTCGATGCCAGGGGGCCTGATGGAGGAATGACACGATAAACACATTGTCAATGAGCATGTGGTAGCGCTCTGCTTTGCCCAGGTGTGTGTGCCCCCTCCAGCTATCTGAGTGTGGCCCTTCTTTGAAGGGTGTACTGGTGTGTCTGGGTGGGGGGGTGGGGGGTGCAGGTGTTTGCAATTATCACTGCTAAGAGGCACAAAGTGTGGATAAGTGCCATCATTTTGAATTTTCATCACACCTTTTTTACAGAGGGGGGGCTACATCCCCGTGTGATTGAAGCCATGTGTTTGCTCGTGTCCATGTGTGCACACTTTCTATGTGTGTGTGCTGTGGGGAGTGGACATGCCTGGCTAAAGGGCATTAGAGGGTGAGGCACTGGGGAGTTAAATGGGACAGGGCGGGAGGGGGTGATGGGTTCAAGGAGAGGCCTGCTGTGGAGGCTAACAGTCAGCATCCTGTGTTTTTAGGCCCTCTCTGAACAAGCTCTCTCACACACTCCTGCACGGAACGTTCCCACAGCATTCCAGCTGTGCCTGCGCTGGTGTTGAGCTTCCTGCCCCGAGCCCCCCGGGTCCACAGCTGGACACGGGACGTCTGGGAGGCACGTGGTGTGACCTGGACAACACCCAGCTGCTGATTCCTCCCACCCTGCCTCGTCTCCTTCCCCCCCACACACCCCTTAACCATCAGCATCTTCATAGTCGAACTCCCTCTCCTGAGAGCAGCTTTACGAGCCTCTCCAATTACCCAGTGCAGTGGCCGAGCTGCTGGAATGACCGCACACATGTCACAACACGACCACGAGGTTAGCTGCCATGCGTGTCCATTAACTTTTCCCACACTCTGCATGCATTCAGGGAGTGAAAATGGGGGGGGAGAAAACCCTCTGCTTCCTTCTTGGCTGTGTAAGTGCTACCATATGGTCCACTCTCCTCTCGCTTACACAGTCCTCCTTTCTGTCTCTACATCTCTCTCCCAACCCATCACTGGGGCTGGCTTTGATTGTAGCCCAGACAAGCGAGAGCTTTATGATTTAAGCCCAGAGCTTGCTGTACCAAGCCCTGGACTCACATTCAAGCCAAACTCTTCTCCCTCCCCTCTTTTTCCCAGTTTCCTTGCAGCCCCCACCTTCTCCTGCAGTTGCAGGGGAAGGCTGTTTTCTGGCAGGAAATGAATAGCTCCCAGATGAGCGCAGGAACCTGAGAGGTCGTGAGAAAGAGGCGAACCCCCCTCCGCAGGCCCGGCTTGCTGCCAGCCGCCGGGGGAATGTGGGAGAGCGCCTCTCTGACACACGCATCAACCCCTCTGCCCTCCACCACACCGCCTGACTGACTGCCTGCCCGCCTGCCTCAGCTCTGGGCCCCAAGCCTGGAAATAGACTGACAGACGGGGCAACCGCCACCGAGGCAGGCGGCGCGGTTTCGTCAGCCAGCCAGGCAGGGAAAGGGAAAGCTGTGGGAGGGGAGGACGAAGTGTTGGACTTGTGTGGGCAGAAGTGGATCGTCTTGTGTGTTTGCACTCTAATCCTGACCCAAGCATACATTACACTGTATAGTTATAGCTTTACTTTCCTCAGTTTTAACTCATATATGACCCATTTAAACAGCTTGCATTTGAGGACAGGCACACATGTGCACACTTGTTCTCTCACTCAGAGACATGCTCTCATTCCAGTCAGACAGGTGTTCTCTGTCAAGGGGAAATGGTTCTCCCTGTGGTTCCCTGTGTGCTGAACTAACATTTGCCCCCCTGAGGCTGACACTGTTATTGGATATGGACAAAAGTTTCATTACAGCTGTCCAGACGTATTCCAAGAAGCTTTTTAATCATTGTTCTACATCTACACTATTTGCTCTGATTAACTCATTATTAAGATGAGATAAGATATTAAGAGGCCAAATACAACAGATGCTGACGATCATGTATGTTGGCCCAGATCAGGAGAGTCCTGATGGGTTGTAATATTTTTGACACGCAGCCTAAAAATTAAGTTGCATGTAGGCGCTCTTTAATTCTCCATCAATGGGGCTGAAATACAGAGGTGAACTGTAAACAGATAAATAGCACCTAGCAAAATAAGCATTTTTTAAAAAATCCTTTTAAATTTGTTCCATCATTCAGTCAATTGTTTTCCATCGCAACTCCATACAATAAACACAAAGGAGCATATATTGTAAGGAGGAAAGGAAATAATCCAGTGTTTTCAAGTTTGCAAAGTAACCCAAGCGCAATGTATACAAAAGAGGCTTGTCTGTGATCATTGGTTTTAAAGACCTACCACATATTATGGTGTGGATTTAGATCTGGACTTTGTTGAGCCATTCTTTCACATCTGCTTTGATCTTTTAACTCTGTCTGTGTGTTCAGTGCTGTTATCCCACTTAGATGGGAACCTACACCAAGTCTTAAGACTTTAGCAGCCTCTAAAATGTTGTCTTCCTGGTTTGTCCTGCTTTGTCCATCCACATATAGACTCAGTAAGCTTCCTCAGATTGATGTTGACGCCACTATAATTTATTATGGGCATGGTGTATTCAGAGCCATCCGCCGTGTTAGGTTTGGCCTTAAAACTGTTAAACTTTGGTTTCATCGTACCAGAGCTGCCTCTTGTTGGCTCTATACCGTAAATGCCTTATTGCAAACTTCTTATGCCATTTTTCTATAATACCTTTTGTTACACTCTTCTCATAAGACCAGGGTTGTGGATTTCGATAAAAAATAATGTATTTAGTTCAAGACATCAAAGACGTCAAAGCAAGAAACAGTTAAATCAGATCATACAGTCAGAGTGGTCCAAAGTTTTCTTTCTAAAGAAAACCAGCTGATTGGAATGACTCATTGCAAGACACGCTCCTCCTGATGGGTAGACACTAATCTGCATTGTGTCTCTGACTCTATAGCAGGGGTCACCGACACGGTGCCCGTGGGCATCATTGGAGCCCTCAAATACCACATGGGAACTCTCAGCATCTTCTGAAAACAGAACAACTCACCAGTGGGTGAGTTTAAAATTTCATTTTATTCTGTTTCTCTTCTTTTTTAATCATTTAGAGAGCATCCATCCATCCATCCATCCATCCATCCATCCATCCATCCATCCATCCATCCATCCATCCATCCATCCATCCATCCATCCATCCATCCATCCATCCATCCATCCATCCATCCATCCATCTTTTCCCGTTATTTCCATCAGGGTCATGGTGGGGCTGGTGCCTATCTCCAGCAGTCTGTGGGCTAGAGGCGGGGTACACCCTGTATTGGTCACCAGCCTGTCACAGGGCAACACAGAGAGATACAACAATTCACAAACACTCTCACACCTAAGGAAAATTTAGAGATGCCAATTTACCTAACAGTCATATTTTTGGACTGTGGGAGGAAGCTGGAGTACCCGGAGAAAACCCATGCATGCATAGGTAGAATATGTAAACTCCATGCAGAAAGAACCCCGACCATGAATTGAACCCAGAACCTTCTTGCTGCAAAAAATTATTATGTATGAAGTTTAGGGGAACACTGGCTGCTCCATTTTCAGATGATGTTTAGAACATAATTCCACAGTGCAATACTCCTTTTACCTTATCTCTT